TTCCGAAGAGTTCTGATGATATAAATTATTCGTTAATTTTTGAAATAATTTTTATTATCCTAGAAAGGCACCTTTCAAGGAATATGTATGAGACGCTGGCCGATTTTCGACAGTGAAAAGAATAGAAATTCACAGAACTGTCGAAAATTAGCCAACGTGTCATCTTTGTTCCTATAAAAGTTTTTTTGAGGGGAAAAAAATTACTAAAAATTGAAAATAACATTGTTTATCGCCAGAACTCTTTCTAGAACTCATTTAAAACTATGTATCTTTTAAAATCTTAGAAGAATCTGTGGTGAAAACTTATGTAGGACAAAGTGAGACGCTGCATGAACCTAGCGTCTCAGTTTGTTTTTTCACTTTTTTTTTGTTTTTAAGGGCAGAACTATTAGTTTAATCGATGTAGAACTATAGAACTATTGAAAATAAAGCCAGAACTCTCGATAATTAGTGAGTTTCTGACGAAATGATACGCCAGCTTCACACACACACACCTTTTTATATCTTACTAATTGGCAAATTGTTATTTTCTATAAGGCGCGTGGTTTCCTTGTGGCTTTCTTTCTCGTTTTCTGAAAATTAAATATTTCGGATGAAACGCATTTTGAAAGTTTGATCCTCAGGTAACAGGCAAATTTAACGGGGGCTACAATCCTTTTTCACGAGGTTGTCTGCGCAATTGCTGTCACACACAGTTTGGACCACAATACCCAAGGTATTGCAAGGAGCCAAGGTATTGTAAAATTAATTCTGTATGCGTAAATTATTTTGTTATAATGAATTTTCTGTGTGATTTGCAGCTTACTTAAATCTGATAAGTATTCAGGGAAGCGACGTGGAGCGTGTGCATCAGAGATATCTACTATAGGCAGTGAGAACCAGGTAAAGACCTACATGGATAGCAGCAATGGTGTTAGAAATGCCAGTTCAAATGCTTACAATAAGGTAAGAGCTAGCGCAGTCTCGCTTATCTTCTTACTTTATGAACACACCATTCGGAATCTGATGCTTGAACCATTATTATGATTTGTATTCTTACTATTAACACAGTTAAACAAATGGAAATTTGGACGAAGCTTACGTCTTAAGCACTCTTTTGCTTCTATGCAGTTTTCAAGCATGTATAGCATGACTAGCAACATTGTTGTACCACTATTAGAGTAAATGTAAACAGTTATGCAATTCCTAGTATTAGCTTCGTAGTACATTTTAGTGTTTTACTATAGAAATTAACATATATTTACATCTTTTTCTCACATCTGTAGAGTATGAGTTGCAGCGATGATACCTCATCTATCAGTATTGATCAATCCAGAGTCCTAAGATGCCTTTACTGATTTCCTCCTGTGGTTTATACATGTCCCATTCATCCAAACTGATCCTAATATTCATAGGAAATATAGTAATGTATATTGCAGAGAGAAATTTTTTTTTGTTTGATATATCTTTTGATATATCTTTCTTCGATCCATGATTGTTGGTTTTTCTTTATAGTTATCACCCGGACGAGATGGATCGGACACAGACATGGAACCGACAGCGTCTCAATCTGCAGACTGCGAACCTACGCCGCCGTTGCAAAGACACGGTTCTAAAAGCAATTTCTTCCTGCCACCTGTGGAGAATAACGAATCTCCCAGGCATCCTCCGCCGTCGCAGCTTCGCCATCCAATACATTATCCTAGAGGCAGTCCACATCCAAGGCCAAGGTATTTGCAATAGATAGTGACAGGATTTTCAACATACAAAATGCTCTAGCATAATACTTACGTTCATCATGTTCATAGAGGGATGAACGGATCTCGAAGTCACACACCTGATCCGTTATCACCGGAGACGAGTGGTTCGCCAGCCACGGTCCCTCAACGTCAGGGTGGTGCCAGCCCAACGATGCAACAACGTATCAAAGCTATTGGAGTACCCACTCCGCTTGCCATATCCAGTCCCATACGAAGGTACATTATACTTGTGCATTACTGAAAGAAAAATCAAAGTATATATTAATCCGATATATATTTGAAGAAATAAACCTTTTAATATCAACACATTTACACGTGATACAAAAAAAAATGAAGGATTGATTGATTGAGTACTTACATTTGATCGATTCTTATACGAAATATTCAAATACTTGTTACAATTTCAGATTTATTATGTATCTCTAATTATATATATATTTATATATATATATATATATATCGCGATTTTCACATTGCACAAAATTATCTCAATGTAGAGAGCAAGAGGGAAGCGCCACACTAGTAATAGTTACAATGCATCTCTTGAGCACGCTGCCAATACAAAGTGAACGATATTCCTCTTATGATATCCTTTTTGCTACCCTTCGATATGATGTCGGCCTGTTTTGTCAAGATCTCCTGCCCCTCACTGTTAAACACCTCACTCTTGCTCTTCTTTCTCCTCCTTTTCTGTCACCACTGTTCTCGCCTTCCGGAGGACGAAGGAACGTGTCAAAAAGGAAAATTGCGCAATGTAGCTTACAATAAATATTGTAGACGATTAGTCTCTCTGCATGTACATATTACAAGATATATGGTATATAGATAAGTTTGTGTCCCACTGCAGGGGGTGGTAACTGCAAGGAGCTGCTTTCTACCATCATGTTGCAACCTACTGCAGGTAAACACGAACTTCATCCTACGAGGACATACCGTAGTTTACAATTATGCTTTCTTGCATATATCTTTGTATATATAGAAAAACATGGTTGTAAAAATACATTCGCATATGACATACATACACACACATACATACACACATTACACAAGATGCTCCTACACACATATTTCTTAGGTTCGCTATCTTTTATGTTTCTTGAATAGATGCTAAATTCTTAACAGGAATGATGCGCTGCTCTCTCTCCTGTATGTCTCGCCAGAGCCGTATTTGTATGGCTACAATGCTCAAGCACTTGCATATTCATCTTGGTTCACTGTACTATGCATTTGTCGATTATTGAAAGCATTTTTGCGTCGTGGAAGATTCGTGAGAGCTAAGATACGTTGTGTCTGTTACAGATCAAACCCGGGTACACCGACGCAGGTTCGTCGGCCGGATTTCATAGGCGTGAACGAAGCGCCGACGTATTATGATGTACAGCAGGGAAATACGGGAGTCGGCGTTCCCAGTTCTGTCATTACTGGTTACAGTCCGCAGCGACGTTTCTTGTCAGAGAGCGAGCTTGTACGACAAGGCACGGATCATCCATATTCGAGAACCAACAATACGGTCGACAATATACGCGAACTGGCTGGTTCGCCGCAGCGCGGTGTTTACATGTGGAAAGACAATTCTCCCGGCAGCTATCCAGGTCCACCTCCTGGAGGAGCGGTGAGCAGTACAGCGCATCAATCACCTTCCCATCGACCTCCGCCATACGATTATTATCGCTCCAATCCCACGAGTCCGACTCAACAATCGCAATACACGACGAACGCTCCTAGGGCAGCATATCATCCAGCCCTGAGAGGTGGAGTGCCCGTCTTCCCGCCACATCAACCACATCAGTCGCCGCAAGTTAAACGAAAAGCGACTACGATGGCAACACCAACTACACCAACCTCGGGAGATGCACGGCGTCGACCGATGTCTTTCGTCAGAGCCCTCGAAATGACCGATTCCATGGAAATGGTTTCGGTACCCAATGATCCGAGATCTCAAAGACCAACTACACCGACACCGGATCGTGCAAGCGTATACGATATGAACTATGAAATATCCGTATAGCCCACCTTTCCGGTCTCCGCACCATCCTGCGGCTGGACGGAGATTCTACGAGAGCCGCCGAGTAGTCTGCATGTCTTATACTCCAATGAGAAAAGGATGTGTGCCGTTTACGAGATATCCGTCTAAATTCTTCTGCGATTGATACCGTTACGCGCGTTTAACATTGCAAGTGGGCAGTAAACGCAAACCGCGGCTGGTCTTCAGTTTCGTTTGTCGCCAATGAGATTATTCTTACAAATACAAGCATTAGACTTGCCAGAGTAATCAGGATATACGCGATGTACATGTTTGATAAATTGCCATCAATAATGTATGTGTGCGCGCGTGAATCATCGCGATTGACAGTATATAGCATTCATTCTCGGCGAGGAAGTCGGTCCGTCGACGCATTTAATTCGTTGTGAATTCACATGAAGCAGTAAATATACGACGAATATTTATTTCTCTAATTCTTCCTTCGGCATTGAAATCTTACGGTACGATGATAGAGTTCTTGCATTTTACGCAAGACAAACCAACGGCAATGCAAGTGTTCTGTCATAGTAATATCATTTATTTAGTCATTATTAATAAAAAGTGATTCCACGTACATAGCAGCGAATGTCCATTACGTCAAAAATAACAGCGTTTGGTCCGACTGACGATCCGAATTAATGAGTCACGGAGACGTCAACGAAAGTATATCCCGAGCGCACAGAGGTTGACCTTTATTGGAACCATTACCGATAAATCGGTCCTCTCGCTTGAACAGAAGCAATTATATTTTTTAGTACACGTTTAAGGTCAGTTTAGATTTTTATACAATGACACCGTGACTCATCCTCCTATAGAATACGATTAATCCAATGTCATCCTTTTCTTTCTCTTTTTTCTTGTTCATATCTCCATTTCCGATAAGGAGCATGATTTGATAAATGAGAGAAGCACTAGGGATCACTTTATTACATCCTTATTAGCTCTTCAAATACCAGAGGAGTCCATTGAAAATGAAAAAAGGGAGTTACTTAACCAACTTAAGTCATTATCGGGATAGAATAACAAATCTGTGTAAAATAATCGTGGAATATGTAGTAAATTTTTAATATACATATTTAACAATATTTATACGTAAATGATTAAAAAAAAATATAAGACTTTATAATTTGACTTGTTTGTTATAAATGATGATTTTATCGATGTGCCCACTAACATATTTTATTTCTACATAAAGAGTTCGCAGAAGAGAATGTGAGAGAATAAAAGTATGAGTGTACAAAAAATAACGTGTGAATGGGAAGAATGCATTTACAGAAGAATGAAAAAAGTACAGTTCTAGTTTTCTCAAATGTACACAGGGGTGGTTGTTCATAATATGCGCGAACGTAAAATAAAACTATTTTGATTTTGTTAAAAAACAAAGAGAATTGTAATATATGTATTGCATAAATCCATTACTGCATCCATCGTTGCTATTAAATTTGTGATATAACCCGCTTTTGAAATTGCATGATAGTTTCTCTATCGTGTATGTGTATAGGAAGCCAATAATTATCGGCTATAATTAGATTACAGGCTACAGGCTGCAACGTGATATTAATTGAATTTTGCGTACGCACTCGATTCACGATGGATTGCGCGGGAATCGACTTAGTGTTACACGACACATATCATTTTGACGTCAGACATCGAATATTTTTTAGATTAAAAACAACTTTTGCATTTGGTATAACAACTGCTTGACTACAGACACAATATTATAATGAGGATTATAAGCATTTCTTCCGTATTTCTTGATAAGCTATATTTAGGATTTATTTAACAAACTCGTTTTATTTCTATTAAGATGAACTGTGCCAAAAATTTCCCGTACTCTTCAATCATGTAGTCTTGCTTAAAATAGCATTTAATGAGACAACGGTACAACGTTACGAATTAACTAAGATAATAATGTGTAAGGTGTGGCGAGTGTTAAGTGTTTATATTCGATGTACTTGTACATAAATATTGCTCGTTACTTCTGTCACTTAAATGTACATACATATATCATTCGGTACTTACGTATCGCCGCAGCAATCTACAGAATAAAAATCATGAAACATAGTAAATTATACTGTGTTATATCGTGGCATTTTTTTATGTAATGTTTCTGTTTTTGCTTAAGCCTGTTATTTTGTTGAACAAAAAACGAAAAAAGTCACGTTATCACTAAACACGTTTTTAAATTCATCATCTAATTGTAAAAAAAACATTTCATTTAAATAAATTAAAGTAAATAAATTAAAGTACGTTTCAACTAAAAATACTATGCGTATAAAGATGTTTCAATGCACGTGGTTTTACAATGTTTCACGTTACGCTTCATAAATTTTAATATACGAGCTATTTAAATATATGAATTATTAAAAGCGCTATAATTAAATTTTAATTTTGAAATTGGAAATCATTTTTTTACTATTAAGAAATGCTTATTGTTCATTCATTATGGTAATTGAATTGAAGATAATCTAAATTTGAAATTAAAAAGTTGCTAAAAACTTATTAACTTTAATAAGTTATTAGCAAGATGAAATTAGCTAATGTCAATTGCTTATCCTCCTTGAGAATTATTTTGGAAATATTTTATATTTTAGTTTTAAATAAATTAGCATATATATATTTACATTCAAGGATCTGTATATACAAAATATACACTCTGTTGATGATATTAAATATAACTTGCAACGGTCCTAACTTCTTCAAATGTTCTGATTCTGGTGATTAAAATGCATCTCCTGTTTTCGAATCTTTAATTTTAATATAATTTTAAAGTTTATACAAAATAGTAAATTGTTTGATATATATAAAATCAAATAAATCTCACCATGATGATATGCAGTGCGATGTTTCATACTCTCATTAAAATATATATTTGGATGTTCAAACAAAGTATCGTTAAGACAGTCATGTTTAATTTCATAATATTTGTTACATGCTGCAAAATATTGACCGTTCTTGGACAATTTCATTATTGCTGATCTCTCTAGATAATAAATTAGCTGATACATAAAAGAATTCATTTTATGATTCTACATACAAATTAATATTGGGATACTTACCCGATGCATTAAAATCGCAATCAGTAAGTTGCTCTTCAAGTGTATCATGCAGCATATGTTTAAAAGGGCATCCATGATAATCTCTAGGTCCAACAATTGATTCCAGAATTCTTTGGCACTTATAAGGCTGATAATCTCGACGACTACCTTCTTTCCCATAGTTAAATCTTATATAATACATATGTTCTTTAAATGCAGTATCGTCCATTATTTTCATGAATTCGTCTTTCCAAAAAGTCATTGCATCGGACAAAGAAAGTCCCATGCCTTTCAGGAATAAACAGTATTGTATTCTACCACCATGTGTAAGATGATGATTCTTCCTTAGTGCTTTGTGAAGCACTCTCATACATAGAGGATAAGAAGTTTCTGCAAGCTGTAATAAAATCATTTGTTATAAAATAAGATTTAGCATGTCAAACTTATTACAAGATATTGCTGTCATTAGATTTAATATCACGTCATTATTAATTACAAAAGTATTTATAATATTAATTTTCACCTGATCCAACTTATCGAGTGAAATATATTGTTGCATCTCTTGTTCTCGTACCAATACAGTATTTTGAGTAAGAATATTATTTTCTAAATAAGCAAAGATATGAGTAAACCTTTCATCATTATATAAGTTGGCTCTAGCTTCACGTGCAACCTGAAATATAACAACAGAATAGAAAATAGTAAGTTGATTGACAGATTCATAGTAATCACATTTATACTTCAAAATTTGATATAAGAATTCTCCGGAAATATGACACAAACACAAATGCCATTTCTTGTTCGGGTACAAAAGCTTCACCTTGCAAAACAAGAACTTTACGCTTTCTAATTAAATTGGCTATATGAAAGAAAGGTATCCTATAAAATTGTGTGTTATCAACATCACTAACATTGAGAGAAGACATGTGAAGATGTTCTCTGATATTTTCTTTTTCATTTTGGCTAATCTAGAACCAACAGAAAATATTGTTAATCTAAGATTTGAAGAAAGTTATATCTAAATATTAGAATAAGCAATAACTAACTGGGCTAAAGTTAAAATTATTAATGCACATAAACTGCCTGATTCCTTCATTGTCTAATGAAGAAAATCTCCATTTGAATAACCTTGCTTCTTGCTTAAAAAACCAGCGCTTTTTGGATTCATTGAAGGCAACTGTAGACCTTAACATAAAATGAGATATATGATCTCTTCTTCTAACACGTATATCCATGTCAGTGCACGATTTGCATCCGGAGTTTTTAATCAAACTTCCAAATTCGGCTAGCCCTTGTTTGTGTAACTCTTCAACCAAGGCAATTCTGCGTTGTGATAGCGACATTGTCGGTTTTTGTAAATGAATACGTTCGACTAAAGAAAGAACTACAACATAAAAACACATTAATTATGAAAACAATTATTATATTAATATATAAATAACCATATGTTAAATGAAAGGAAATAAGGTGCAAAATTTAGAGTTAACCTTTGAGCCGTGTTTCACTTATTTCTTGTAACTCTTCTAACGTTATCTCTCCAAATGGTACGTTCCGATACAATTGTAAATTATGAGGATACGAATCACCAGGATTCCTCGATGAAAGTTTAATAGGAACTTGAAATGTCATTGTGGATACCATATTACTCGAACTTGAATAAAATCAAAAGAACAAAATTAAATAATAAGTCAAACAAACAAATGATTAATTTAATTCTTACATCTCATAACAACATTTTATCCATTTAAATTTGTAGCAAGCACAACTAGGCATAGGCAGTTCAAAAGCAATTGCGACAATTGAGAAATCTAACGTCCAATCGCGTAACTACTAAACCGGAAGTTGACTGTTCGTTTCCCTTCTATAGCACTAAAGGCTTAAACACAACAGGCACAGACACTAGGCAACAGAGAATAACGAGCCGTCCAATCAGAGCTCTGGTGTGTAAATTCGATATCACATCCCAGAGTTCTGATTGGATGGCTCGTTATTCCCTGTTGCCTGTGCCTATTGCCTGTGCCTATTGTGTTTAAAGCTTAAGAGTACGGTCAACGAGATGCTATAAACGCTTTGAAGCGTTTTTTAATTCGTCAGTTTGCAAAATTCTTTCTTCTGATTGGTCCATTAAACACTTCAAAGCGTTTGTAACAAGACTTTGACCACAGTTTAATAAAACAAACAAAAGTAAAAATATATTGGATCATCTAAAAAGTATTCGCGGTTTTTTGTCACTAGATGTGTGTTGATGGTCATATATCTAGTGACAAAGTACCGCGGATACTTTTTAGATGACCCAATATATGACTACGTTCAACAGAATACAACAGTTTTGCAACCGTTTTATAATTTGCTGAGGTAGGATCATTCTTTTAGATCTAAAAGTATAATCCAATCAGCGCGAAGAAAACTTTCAACAGTTGCAAAATAAACGTTCTGCTGAACGCAGCCATTGACGTATCAGCGGACCAACAGCTGATTCTGGTTGACCAACGGTGTTCTTTTAGATCATCCAATCAGCATTTTAGATCTGGAAAAATACATCAATAGCAGCGAGCATTCATTCAACTGTTGAATCCGCTGAACGCAGCCATTAGGTACATTCAAAACGACAACCGCTCACTAAACACTCAGTGAGGTCTTTTATCTGATTGGTCTATATTTTAGGAATATGCCAATCAGATGAAAGAGCTCATTGAACGCTCAGTGAGCAGTAATTATTCTGAATGCACCCATTGATGTATTCTTCCAGATCTAAAATGTTAATTGGATTATCTAAAAGAATACACCAATAGCATCCAGTGCTCACTCAACTGTTGAGTCTACTGAATGCAGTCATTGTATAAAAATACTAATAAATTCTAAAAAAAAGCATTGATCGGCTAGCCTGCTTGCTGAATAAATTAATATTCGTTACTTATAGATCCAACTAATCACATTCAATCGCGAGCAGGCTAACAAACTTTGTCTGGCGCCCATTGTAAAAAATTCAATATAAAGAAATAATTTGTTAATAAATATAAAATTATATTCAATAAATCAGAAAAAAAATGTATAGAGGAGAGACATAATAAAACAAAGATGGCCGCATTCAAATCAACAAAGCTAGTTTGCTCGTCGAGCAAATAAATATGATTAGTTGTTACTTAAGGCACAGTAGAACAAATATTAGAAACAGGAATAAGGTCCTGTTCACAATAAAAGGAATAAGAAATTAGGAATAAAGAATAAACGATTTCAACCTATCAGAAACTGTGTATTCCGATGTATCCGATTTCTGATAGATTAGAATCATTTATTGTTTATTCTTAACTCCTTATTCCTTTTACTGTGCGCAGAGCTTAAGTAGGGTGCGTTTTAATATTCACTGATAATGTTGAAAATATTGAATCATCTAAAAAGTATTCGCGATTTTTTGTCACTAGATGTATGTTGATGGTCATATATCTAGTGACAAAGTACCGCGGATACTTTTTAGATGACTCAATATATAGTGCACGTAACATATATTGTATAATTTCAACACTGGACTAGTTTCCACCGAGGGTTTAATCAGGTGTAAAAACTAACCAACTACAATCGAGTATTCCCCTGTCGTTCGAATACTCAACTAGGCCACTGACATTGAATATCGGAAACGCAAATTATTAAGATTTTAACTTTACTACGCAAATTATGCTGCATGTGAAAGCAGTCGAATTGGGACCATTGGGTGCATTCAGTACTACAACCGCTCAGTGAGCGCTTGTATCTGTTTGGTCTATATTTTGAGTTCTAACGGAATATGCCAATCAAATGCAAGAGCTCACTGAGCGTTCAGTGAGCGGTTGTAGTACTGAATGCACTCATTAATGTGTTGGCATTGACGCCACACGGGTTGGGCTGGATAGCGAATTTTGGCGACATCAGCGCCATGACAGTTCCATGGTAAGTGGATTGTTTGTTCTTAATGCGCGCCAAGGTATTTTAATAAAATAATTCAGTAGCTTATAGTAGCGTTGTACGATCAAGATCTCGTCTGGACGTTTCTTTCTTTCGACTAACGTTATTTCGAGCGTGCGAGGTGTGTTACTTGTGACAGAAAACGTTCGACATAAGTAACGTCGGCTTCGTATCCCGGTAGTCCGCCATTTCTGGCGTGCTTGCGGCTAATACGGTTGGCGTATCATCCGACTTCGTCTTAAAGCTTTTCATCCTTAGATCTTTCATTTCGGGAGTCAGAAAAGTCTCTCGTTGCTAATTATGTGAGTAACTTCATTACACGCAGTCAGCAATTACGTAATATTTATATGGATTTTAATCTTCTTTCTCTTTTCCTCTACTCTACACTCGCTGTTTATTATTTAGGGCCCGAAGTCGAAAGGACAGTACAGGCAAGAGTGACTCCGAAGCTACAGACAAAGAGAACAAGAAGGAGAGAGGTAGAGAGAAAGAACGGAAAAAACGAGCGGCTTCTTCTTCCAGTAGTGGGTCTAGGTGAGTAATGTAAAAATATTAAAAGTAAAATTAAATTTACTATCAAATTTAATCTTCATTATGGATTTCATTTGGTTCTATCTGGATGAAATAATTTTTCATATTCAAAAAAGCTCTTGTAGAGAAAGAAATTAGACATTTTCTTTGATGATTGCTGTAACTATTCAATACTTATCACTTTATTGATAAATACATGTAAAATTATATTTGGTAGCTCATCAGATAGCAGTTCTGGATCTTCGAGCTCTAGCAGTGGCAGTAGTTCCAGATCAAGCTCTTCTTCCAGTAGTTCATCCAGTAGTTCACCTAGCTCTTCAGCCAGTTCTAGAGATCGAGGAAGAAAAAGAAGTCGTAGCAAAAGCGCTGATGCTTCACGCAGACATGACAATAAGGAAAAGGAAAGAGAAAAGGAAAGAGAAAGGGAAAGGGATAGAGACAAGGACAGAGACCGTGATAAGGAAAGGAAGAAGGGAAACAATACTGTTCCTGAAAAAGCGAAACAAAAACGATCCAGGTATTATATTTGTTGTAAAGTTGACTTTAATCTTTCTTCTTTCATTTATAATCAATTAGTAAGTTACTAATAATTTTCTTTATTTTACAGATCTCCTTCTCCTCGTAGGAAGCGTAGGGAGCGTTCACCGATTCCTAGACCAACAAAAATACATATTGGTCATCTAACACGGAATGTTACTAAAGATCATGTCATGGAGATATTTTCGACATATGGTCAAATAAAGATGGTCGACTTTGCATTGGATAAGCTTCATCCGAATCAAGGAAGAGGATTTGCTTATGTCGAATTTGAAACTGCAGATGAAGCCGAAAATGCCATGAAACATATGGATGGAGGTAAAACGCCGATTAGTATCATTATCATTTTATCTATTTCATTTGCCGTTTGCAATGCTCTTGGAATCTCATTTTATCTTTGTTATTTATCAAATAAACAAAAATAAATGATGCTGGCTATTGCAAACGTCAAATAGAGCACATTCTCGGTGAATTACTTTATTGTATACCATACTAATGCATTTTGCATTGATCTGTTCACAGGACAAATAGATGGACAAGAAATTACGGCTGCTCCAGTCTTATTACCGAAGCCGCGACCGTTACCAATGCGACGCATGTCCCCGGGTATGGGAAGACGCGCACCACCACGATGGGGAGGTGGTGGTAGAAACACACCGCCACGTTATCGCAGACGTTCACCGCTTATGAATCGTCGTAGAAGTCCAAGACCACGGCGTAGAATAAGAACTCGATCACGAAGTCCACCAGGAAATCCACGACATCGACATCGTCGTTACACAAGGTCCAGTTCGAGTAGTTCTCGATAACAGTTTTTATCGCGATGTGTATATATATATAAGAGATATTGAACTGAACGTGATCAACATTGTCGTATAGTTGAATTATTGCACTTCAAAAAACTAATGTGTAACAATTTCGTTTTAATAATGATAAGATACGTTTGCTAATGAAGATCATAAACTTGTTTATAAATATCATAATAGTTTTATGTTTCGAAAAGCACACTTTTGAAATATACTAATTTTGCAACATGTATTGATGGTCTTTCGTAGTTACACCTCAAGTTATTATAAACTAATTAACACTTCAAAAATTATTATAAACTTATTGTAACATTTACATTATTCAGACTATCATAAGATAAACAAAGAATATTTGTAGAAAGAGTTAATGCAATCGTTTTTTTTTTAATCAATGTATTTTTTCTAGTCTAACCTTTTTAATCGCGTATCTGGTGTACTACTAAAAATGGATCGTAGGATTTAATTAAATTAACTTTATATATATATATATATATAAAATATAGTATGTATATGTATATATAATATATATATATATATATAAAAATAAAAAGTATAGTATGTATATATATATATATATATGTA